TCTATGTTCAGGGAATTAATATTTGAGAATAAATTTACTATATATTACGTATGATCACCTGAATGTATTGATATTCTAAGGCAAGTCAATCAGCCTCCGTATTATTTGTACATCATTCGTCTTGCAATCTTATACAACACTCATCTCACTGTAAATTAGATTCGCAATTTGGAATATAAAACAGTTCGAGGAGGTGTAGTATCACCACAGTTTCCTTTGGAAACCGAAAACACTCATATCACAGTATGTTGTTTTCTTGATACCGTAAATAGTAAACAAGAAGATAAGCATAGACGCGTGACACTGTAAAATATTGATTGATTGAGATGAGTAGTTATACGTCCTTCACATCAACTAATAATGCTTACCAGCCAACTCAGCTAAGTTATCTAAATCCCAGGGGGTTTGCAGTGATTTAAATGTCTGAGCAGAATCAAACCGAGTACAGAGCTGATGAGGTCGGCCTCAACCGAATGAAATGATATTTCGGCGTTTAGATCATTTCGATGACCTTGCTAGCAAACACTCCTAATTGGTTTGAGTGTATTCCCACTACTCATTTCTATTAATCAGTAGCATGTCACAAGTCTTATTCATTTAAAGATTCATCAAAAAGAGGGTGGAAATTCCTAATTAAAAACATGCCAAAGGTATGGTTGCTGGCATCCTGTAGACTAAAGTTACTCCGTATGAATGATTCTTTCTGAAATTGGCTCATTTTCAATATAAATCATATTCTATGTACTTTCTCGACATCTGTTTATCATAAAGTCTAGAAGGTCCTCATATCTGTTTGTCGGAGCTTTTTCTTATCCACTGTGAAGTTAACACTGAATAGGTATTTCCGAGTAAGTCATTTTAGTTATTGGGACATGAGACTGTACAGTCAGCCTGTGTTTAAATATATTCTATACAAATTCACCAATAACTGAAGCGTAAGTAAACAGTAAACACTTTTAGACCTGAGAAGTTAAAGTTACTTTACACAAGGTTAGCTTGCTTGTAACGTGTGCTTTGCAAACTGAAACGCTCACATAAAATTTCATTTTCTTTTCCTTCACTTCCCCAGTAGAACATAGGGCTCCAAGCTAGTGGCTTGAAGTTTCTGTAGCAGTGTTTATTTCACAGGATGGGGTTGCTAGCCTCATGCCTAACCTTTTCTCTTCACCACCATTATTTCTGGCTTAGCGAGGTAAAGGAGTGCGCCGGCCGGGGTTCGAACCCCGGACCATGTGCATGGTCGGCGAGCGTCCTAACCGCTATGCCACCAACGCTACAATTTCATTTGGTTTCCCAGAATAGGATATTCGGATGCATACAACAAACTTGTTTAAAGCAGTAAATAAAAATCAAGTGAACTGGGGTTTTTTTGATCATGTGACCACCATCAATGTCTATGGATTTTTCAAGTTCTACCGCACATTTTCATCTACTTAAAGTTATGAAAATATGATCAGTCGTTACACAAATGGGTTCTCTGTGAACTTCAAGTGTAAATTTCTTTGCTTTCGAATGAGGTGCCAGTTCCAGTCAACGCAATTTGAATGTCAGCGCTGATAAAGAGTCCTAGATTGGTGCAAAACAGCCTTTAAAGTAGTCTTTGGATTTCTATGTTCTTTAGTTAATATTGGTTTGTGAGGAGGATATCTACGCTAAGAGAAAATCTTCTTACTGCACGCAGAAACTCAAATACAACAGTTATCGTGACCTGATCAATAGAGGTGCTGACATGAATTTCATGTTGATCAATTTAACTAGGGTCACAAAGGCATCAAACAGCGCAGGTTTCACGTAGGAAAATTGGCTAAGTTTATAAATGAACAAAATTCAAAGTGGAGGAAAGTGGTGTTTCAATATCATACAGCTTTTAAATATGCCTTATCCCTCGACGAATTAGTTGGACACAGTCAGCATGTCCTCTAAAAACGATAATAGTTTGTTCTGTTTCACCGCAGACTTAATTATATTTCCTTAGATAGAATTCATCATAAAAATGGTTCAAAATTTAGAACATTCTAACAATTTTAATTAATTTATTTATTTAAAACAAAACCGGGTACAATACTGGCACCAATAAGATGTGCTACACAATAATAATAAAACAGCAACCTATGAAAAAAGGTGAAGTATGAGTAAAGAACAACATATGGAAAGGAAGCAGTTATATTCAAGAAGGCCAAATAACATTTCACAAATTATCATCAGAAACGTAAGAAAGAAGGAAATCGGAACATGTTCGCTATTTTTATTACAATATGTTGCCCATATCCAATAACGTTTTGAGCAACCAATTCGAGCTATCTCTCAGACCTCAAACAAAGAGTCATGATATACCAACTGAGGCTAACCTAGCACAAATATATCCTTTATCCCACAATACCATATCACGGGCTGACCACCTATTCTCTTTTTTCATTCCGTTTCAGAGCTAGTAAAGAGAAACCGATAAGCAAGCCTCTGGGATGACATTCAAGCACATGTTCAAGCCACCGAAGCTGGTGTTTTCAGATGACGACAATCAATGAATGATGACCTCCACTGTATCCAAATACACGCTGCCAGACCTTCGAATTACTCACACAATGATACTTTCGAACGGAAGCTCTTTTACGGAGACAGCGATGACTGAATAATAGGAGTCGTATCACATCCTTTGCTCGGAAAGGTCAAGTTTCAAAAGCGTAGACCAAGACTGCGCCCACTGAAACATTGTAAAGCCGATCTCTAACAGACAGGGTAACATCGTGATGGCACCTGAGGTGACTCAAATTTACGTACTCCATCTTGGTTTTCCCTACACAGTTGTAATTTTCATCCGTCACACCTTCATCAACATTCATTCAACTATCCAGCTACACTAACTTATCGACACCTGTAAAAGTGAGTGTAGTTAGTTCTAACAACTAACTTGGTTCAACTATCTAAGTGATCATTTCGTCCAAATTGTTTTTAAGATTACTAGTCTATTGAAAGCAGATTTTTTATTAGGTTCATATTGAATCTCACTTAAGATGATAATAAATACAACTGTGTATCTGGTTGTAATTTAATATATTTTATAGAGATATTCAAATGCATTCACAGCACGGTATATTTAATGAGTTTATTGATTTTTCAATTATTCACTACAACCAGACAGAATCATTTTAAAAAAATATGCTGGATATTTTATTGAAGAGTATCCATTTTCAAATATCTTGCTAATTACGCGATATATATATATATATATAAAGAGACTGATGTTTATAAGTAATTTTAATAATTCTCTTCAATTAGCATTAATATAAAGGTAATAAGTACTGAGGTATAGAACGTCACTGCCTTTGGTTTGACTCCTGCTAAAGTCACTGAACTAGAAGGCCACTGAAAATATTCAGATTACGATATAACCTTTAACCATCAGTTATTGTCTGTCTGACGTCGATTTGTGATAAACAAGTAACTGCATTAAATTTTTTATTTTGATTACAGCTTGATGCCACACCATATTTTCAGTACAAGTATGGAATTTTCAGCACGGATATCGGTAGCCCAAATTTACAGGCCGACCACAGATATCGGGTGTGCGTCGGCAGGGGATCGAACCCCGGACCATGTGCATGGTCGGCGAGAATCCTAACCACTGTACCACCGACGCAAGTATTCATTAACTGAATAACTTTTTGTGATGAAGAGATTACGACATGTTCGTGATTTTTCGATACATTTATTTTCTTCTAAAGTGCATTAATATCCATTTTAGACTTCGCAAATAAATGTGACTATATAATAGAAATAATAATGTTCATATTAGTAATAGTTTCATTTAACTATGAGTATTTTAGGCAGATTGAAAGATGAATATATATACTTTAGAATGATGTGCTTTGTAACAGATTTCCCAGTACCAATGAAAACATACCCATCACATCAACGTAAATTTAATCGGAAAGGTGAGAATCCTGCAGAAGGGTAAAATCGGTCACATACGGTGTCCGTGCCTGGTAGTTCATAAATTTGCATGGGAATTCATTGTGCGTTATGATCTCCTTGACTGATAGAATTCAGTCTGCACTAGACGGGGGATGGGAAGCATGATATTAATCACTACCCAGTAACGAACCAAGGTAACCATTACAGTCTCAAAGGGAGTCATTCACGATCCCGAAAAACTCAGTGATAACGTCTCTGACTGTAGCACTAGCTGACGCGGCTTCAAATTTTAGCAAGGACATAAGTTACTTCAAGAATGCAGATTCGCCTTAATGACGAATGCCAACCAGAAAGAAACCGAGGTGTAAGGCTTCCTGCCGATTGCCACTAATCATCTAAAGACAATTCAGAAAGCACCATTGTAATGAGCCACCTAACATGGTGGCTATATTGCGAACTCGACTGATAGAATTCAGTCTGCACTAGATGAAGAACCAGACGCCTCAGATTAGTTACTTTCTAGTGTCCAAATCAAGTAAGTAGACTAAAGCTAGATATTATAAAAGGCTTTCATTTTATCAAAATTCACTCAACCGAAATCCCATCCATGAATACAGCAACTTGAAGCGTCTTACACTCAGAACAGAATCGAGAAGGTTACAAGTCTGAAAGATACAATTAGACGGGCATTGTAATTGACTCACTGGGCTACTTAAGTTTCTAAACAGCATAATAATTCAAATTCGCCCAATTACATTTTGTTTTAACTATCTATCTATTTCTGTCCTTGAAGGACAATCTGTACTCGCACTCATTTTTAAATGACTTTCAGAACACAATTTAGTCTGTTTTTTGAAAAGCACCAATATGTTGATGACTAGATCATGTTACAGAGATCAAATTCAATTCTGTCGAATGATATACTGTCGATTACTGTTTTACTGAAAGATTCTGTTTAAGAAGCCAGTAGAAGCTAGCGTTATTAAATATGATTAGGAACCAACTGATAGATTAATACCCCATCAAACTATCTCATCCATTGCAGTTCGTAAGTAGATTGTCACAGTGGGACAAAAACAAAAAAACTATTTTATTAAAAAATATTTCTTTAATAAATAAAACTTAATAGCTTAAAGTATTCAGCACACAAGCACATACACACACGATAAGATACATAACAGATGAAGAAGATAGTTTTAATTCAACTTTACTAAACACTGCTGGAGTTAATTTTTTTAATAATTGTCTTCTGCTCTTTTTTTTCTTATTATTCTGCTAATTTCTTTTTGTATTTTTGTTATCATCCTAATTAACCTTTTGGTGTACGCCAAAGTAAGACAATATATGGACCATATTTAAATTGAATTGATTTAAAAGGTTCATGTGAAAAATTCATCCAATATGAACCACGTAAGATAACCACTTGCCAGACACGATCATATGTATCATCTAAGTATTGTTTCAGCTTATTTGATATATCTTTAATTTCAGCATCTTTATTCTCTGTTGAATTACCGAATAGTTCACGAACACGTTCAGTGATATCATATTCAGCTTGTTTTGATAATTTAGAGAGAATAATTTCAAAATCAGATGAAACATTTGGTACTTTAGCAGCATTACTTTCATTACGATGAACTTTTTCGATTTGCCTGTTTTTGATGATAAGAAAGAGGAGCAGACGGAGAGGGGGGAGGGACAATAATTAATTTAAATGACTGAGGAAAATTATAAATGTTTAAATTTAATAGCAAATTTTTATAAGTTGCACAAAATACAGCGTTTAATGACTTATCATTTGAAAGACTTATCGTGTGACATTCGGAACCATTCATTGGTAACGTCTTCAATTAAAAACACTGGTTAATAGAGGTTTGAATCTTAAAGGAGGTTCCCTATATGACAAGTGCTGATAAACACAAAGACTACGTCAAAAGGCATCCAGTCGAATGCCTCCAACCGTCTAACATTAACATACAGGAATATAAGTACACTCAATTAGTTAGGTGAATTGGGGTAAATGACACATGTATGATTAATTCAAGCTCGTCATTGTTAAATAAATCACAGGCTTTAATTTCTGACATGCCTTAATTTTCGACTGATTTTAAATATGTAGGAAATAGATACTAATACCGGTAATCCAGCATTGATTTTTCTCATTGCATACACTTTTCATTCCATTGATAGTATTCCAGTGTATATTGAACCCTTGAACTTTTGTTTAAACGCACTCACCCACTTTTGGCGCTACTTCATCTTTTGATTTGTGACTCCCCTGTACATACTAGGTTCGCTATCTCGTTGTGCTTTCATTCAGAGCACTCTTCGAGCCTACCGCCAGTCAAGGCAGCAGATAAGTTGTATAAAACATTTATTAAATTTGATATTTCGTTTGAGTAAAATACAACTCCACCCTAGACAAACTTCCCATCTCAAGTCTTTTTACTTTGATTCCGTTCGTCAGTACTTACACGTTAGGTTATAAAGCGGTGAGGTTTTTAGTAAGTGTGGTTATTTTGAGGTTTATCTTAAGTCTAAGTCTAACACTTACAGTATCATGAATACAATTCACATATAATGACTACCAAATCCTTTGTGTTATGTTGTAGATGAAATCTCTAAAAATACTACCGACAAATTAAATTACAGTTTTTATTAGAAACATTTTGGTTTTGTTGTGATATATGAGTCGTATATGACTTAACTGAGAACCTTTCATTGTCTTTCTAGATAAAATCTCCAGTGCTAGCTTTACAGAAGTACTTATATGACATTATTTGTACAAATCTTTGTATACTTGATTTGTTTTTAGTAGTTACCTTTACTATAACAGATAATTTGTATCAAAAATCAGGTGTTTAACAGCATATTGTTACAATATTTTTGGGCGTTTTGTTGGCGTAAGTGAACACTACAGCAACCGCTTGTTCACACCGACTAAAGACTGATGTTTTACCAGAATAATATACAGAGGTAGACCGTTACAGAATTCATAGAATCTATAGAATAACTTACATTTCTTTCTGACTTAAACCCAATGCCCGACAAAATTCTTCCATTGAAATTTGATCATCTTTGTCAACGTCGAATTTTTCAATCCATTGCTGAAATAAAAGATGAGAAGAAAAGAAGAAGAAGAAAGATGGTTCTCACGTTCAATCGATGTAACACGGATTTTATACATGGGTCCATGGTCATAGTTGAGTTTAAATTCACATTCCCTATCGATTTCATACATTTCTAGATCCTAAATCAACTAAGAATAGTATTAAGCTCAGTGATTATATATAAATGATCACAGTGGTGTGAGAATTCATTCGGGGGAAGTTTGATGCTCAGAAAAAGCTGCCAACTATAATAAACTATTAGATTTTTTTTCTTTGTCTGTGGTAGAATAGTTTAAATTTCAGCGGTAACTGTTATCATAATCACTCTAATTCCCTTAGTGTACTTTCACCAATATGCTTCAGATTTTTCTTTCACTTTGGTACTACATGTAGATGTAGAAAAGAAAAGGTGTCATATTATTCAAGTTTTGAATCAATCCAATTCATTCCTTCCTATTGATAATTTAATATACAGTTGTTAGGTATTAATTAGTTATAACCTAGCCGTAATGATTGACGTTTTTGACGTTTTTAAAATGTGATAGACTATGCATGAAACAATCGAGAGACTTTCAAAAGTTGTCATATCAAGTTATCTGTTAAAGAGTTAAAATATGATGCCTTCTTCAGATATAGAGCTTTACATCCTTTGTAGTTTAAATTTAATTTCCTGATGTTAATTTTTCTGGAATGTGTCCTTTTCAAAATGCATATCTTCATCATTGATAAATGCTTCTATATGGGTTAACACAAAGAAGGAGTTCAGTGTCCATTGATGTATTACAGTATCACAATTTGTCTAAACTGTGAGTATCATCTATATAATCTATATCATCTATCAGTAATCTATGACAAAAATATCAAAAATATATGACAAAATCTCTCACCACAGACGTCTAGAAACTAACCTACTACGTAAAGCTGATGACATTACGTGATTTATTTACTTGGCATTAATATAACTAATTAATGCATAAACTTAAATCGCTTAGAGAAGTGTTATGTCATCAAATGAGAAATTATAGAATGAATTTCAGTCAATTCTTATGAATTATCAATAAATTTAGGATGACAGACTATTCAGTTTACTTCCTAATCTCTGCGGATATTTAGTCAATGAGAATTATTCCCTTTTGAGCAAAGCCTCAAGCAGATCTATTCAGTGTCACTATCAGCATTAAAATTCCCAAAGGCTGAAGAGAAATGGATCTTAGACATGAATCTGATTGTCTTAGAGACTACCACCTCACAGAGACATTTGCAGTTTATGTAAGACTTGGTAAGCCGTAACAACAACAAGAAGAGAAATATAAATTACATCAAAATTAAATATTTTAAAAAGTTATATTCAAGATTTACCTCAACAAGTTTCATATCAAGATTTTTCTTCCTACAATAATCACTCAACTCTTCTCGATCAGCGACATTATCACCTTCAGAGCATACACTGAGATAAGCTTTGATAAATTCTTCCAGCATTGTCGATTCTATTCACAATTGTCAATGCTTGACTTCTATGAATCAGTCTCTCTCTCTATTTATATATATACAATATAGAGCCTACCACAAACAATGGAGATGATTTATATACACCCTCTTAAAATTTTTACTCAATGACAAAAAAGTATATACATAAATATATATATTTGCATATTTTTCAGGTGTTGTTATTGTCGTTGTCGGTGTTGTTGTCGTTGTTGGTGTTAGTGTTAGTGTTGTCGTTAGTTATGTTGTGAATGCCTAATCAGTCGATTTGAGGTCATTCACACAAATAAACAAATAGGATTCATTATGTGTGCTTGTATGTGTTTGTGCGAATGTGCAGTAGTGCGTGTGTGTGTACAAATGCCTGATTAGTTATTCTAGTGCCTACGGATAACAGGATAACTACACAGATAGATAGATAGATAGATAATAGAATAATTCAGATGAAATAAAGAATTTTGATCATATCTTTGTTAAATAATCTAATGATGTGCACACAATGATTATATTGTCTACCTTTGGAACTCATTCAAAGTTAATTGATGACTTAATTGTGCGACTGCACATAAGCAAATGTGTCAGTGCATATCTAAGTAACTTCTATTTTACTCACGTACGCACATACACACACATACACGCACAAGGATGTACTCTAGCCTAAGATAAGACTTGACTTCAGAATACTAAAAACCAAAAACACCGAAATAATCAATACTGTTAAGATATTCAGGACAGGAAAAAAAAGCACAATTTAGATATTATAAAGAAGAAACTGTCGGTTATTTGGTTGATAGTGTGATATAAGGCGTACATTTTTGTTTTTATCCTATTTTATACTCACCATCTTTTCATGTCTTTTCATGACTTTGCATTCTAAGTCATAAAGCTTGAATTTTGAAGCTTCATTAGTCGTGGTGTTGCAGTTTCCCGGAGTGAGGTGGCTAGCCTCACTCACATTCAACCTTTTTCTCTTTTCCGGATTCACTACCGCCTAAGTAAGTTCTAGGAGTGCGTTGGCTGTGAACTGAACTCTGACCACATGCATGGTTGGTGTGTATTCTGTCAATAAACCAACGACACTGGATATACATGTAACCTAGTGACGGATAATGCTCCTACATAGACTGTTTAGTGAATAGTCTTCAGGAACTCATGTCTCCCTGTAGATAATACATTCGACTAATCTGAGGTATAAGCAAAACCTATCTGAAATGGATTGTGGATTTTTGTATGACTGGTTAAAAGACAGATTCTTCAAACAACAGATACCAATTAGACAATCTATCCTTTATGACACTCATTTAACAGTTTTGTCTCTTTAGGTTACGACTCCTGAATTTCGAATACGTGATACGCAGTATGGAATCGATCTCTTCATCATCAAAGTTTTATCTCTCACAATGTCATGATTATTTTTTATATTTTTTGATTACAGCTTGATTCCACACCGTATTTTCAGTACAAGTATGGAATTCTCAGCATGCGATATCGGTAGCCCAAATTTTGCAGGCCGACCATTGATATCAGGTGTGCGTTGGCAGGGCATCGAACCCCGGACCATGAGCATGGTCGGCGAGACTCCCAACCACTGTACCACCAATGCATAGTGGAACTACGTATGATGTCACCAGCTGTCTTTATACAGCTTCACGACAACACTATTCAAATGATACAACCGATAAAAATGTAGTTATTTTGAATTTCCAGTGGTCTTGTGAGTTAGTTAACCATTTCTTAACCGACTTCAGACTGAAAGAGATATATTTTCTACTGAAGTCTTTAATCTTTATCAAAGATTTTTGGCTCTTTCTTTACCTGTTTTGGTAGTGATTTGAATCAGAAGTATGCAGAATACGGCCACAGTTCTTGGGAGTTAGACAGCACTTTCGGGTATTTTTCATCTATTCAGGGTCACCAGCTTAAACACTTAAACGGATAAAAAGTTCAAGAAAGTGTGTTTTACAAATTATTTTTTAATTTTATGCATTTTTTACTGTACATAATAATAAAAATTATCCAGGTAGAGACTAAAGCAAAATAAGGTAAGTTAATTGAACAAATTAACGTAATTGACAGGAGAGAGTTGTCAACGGAAATTAATACAAGATGGAGCTAAGATCAGTGTCATTAGGAACGAATATGTATTTACACAATGAAAGTTAACAAAAATATAGAAAATGTACTGCATACCATTACAGGAAGGTAAAAAATTTGAAAATAATGAAGGAAGAGTTGGAAATATAAGCGAGAGATCAACTTCACATCTCAATATAATTCTCAACTGTTTTCAAAGTAAGGAAACAATGAATAAATCTGATTTCAAATTTGATCACAAACTGACATGAGTTAGGAAACCACTGAAAACCAAGGAACACTGGGTGGTTGTTTCGTCCCACTTAGGGACTCTTCAGTAATATAAAACCTGCTGTGAGATTAATTAACTGATTGCACTAAACTGGCAATGAAAACAAATAAGGAATTATCGCATTACTATTCCCTTTTGTTCCGAGTTCAGCGTAAGTCTTCAGAAGCATATCTTCACTTCACCCTATTCGATGTAGTCTTTTTCAGCTGTCCGCAAGACCATCTGTAGGTTTTCGTTTTCTCTTCACATGATCTCCTCCACGTCACCCTCGGATGCTCTACAATTCACTTCTAATTCAGGTTCCATTTGACAGTCTGTAATGCTACTCGATGGCTTCCTTAGCATCTGTCGAATCCACCCCCCTTTGATTATTCATATATTTCCGGCGATAGTTATTGGTAGATTCGTCTTCATAGTTTGTTGTTGCTTCTTCTTTCGAGCCTGCCGATCATCTGATATTCGGTATCGGGCCAGCAAGGGCATTTGTGAATAAGTCTCTGCAGCCTGTTGGAAATGCTTTTGATGACACCAAGTCTCTGAACTATATAGAATCCCTGATTCATAATTATTCATTATTATTATTGTTCTTATTAGTTCCTAGAGGAACATAGGGTTTCTGCTATACGTCTCCTTTGTGTTCGGTTCTCCGCTAATGTTTTCACCTAGCTCCACATCTGCCCACATACTTTCATCTCCTCTTCTCATGACCTCCTCCATGTCACCCCCCGAACGACCGACTCGTCGTTTCGCATTCGGGTTCCACTCGACAGACTGACGTGTGATGTTACTTGATGATTTTCTCGGAGTATAGCCAATCCACCTTCATTTCTTCCTGCATATTTGTTGCACAATCGGTTCTGGCTGTGTTGGTTTGCTCCCAGAGATCGCTCACTATTGCTGTTCTTTTCTGGCCGTCTGATCTGATTCATAATTACTGCTGAAAATCCGCATCCCATTCTTTTTTTTGAGTGCAACTGGTTTCCACATTGACCTCAGAGTAATGAAGGTCCATCTCGCCTTTCCAATCCTGGTTGTCTTTCGCATTCTCATTCGTGCCGCCTTTAGTTGAGATAATGCTGTCTAAATAAATGAAAGAGGTGATTTCCCTTATATTTCTCCCGTTGATGGCAATTAAGGCATTTTGCATCAACCCTGTCTTTTCTATGTTTACCTGAAGTCTTGTCTTCACCGCCTCAAAAAGGGAATGCTGCAGACACATCGGAAACTTAGTCAATACAAACTGATGGATACTGGGTTAGGAAGAGAGTAAAAGAAAGGAATAGTCTGATCTTTTCAGATATGACTCACTAAGTTATTAACGCCTCTGTTGTCCTTTAAAAGAAATTGATTCGTCCTCAGAGAAAATCTCGGTAGCAACAGTGTCACCATGATAAAACTCTTTTCACATAATAAACATCACTGAACTAACTGACATATAAAACAATATACACATTAGATTTTGTTATATTAGCTTAAACTGAGTGCCAAAGTAAATTATATTGTTATGAGGAGATATAAATATCTTGACTTTGTTAATATAGCATTCCTGTAACTATTTTCATTATTAACGCAAGAAGAATTAGATTTGTGAATCAAAATGTAAGTATTTCAGCTCTTAACGTTGGTGCTATAAACTGCTTACATTTAACATCTAATTAGTATGCATTAAGTTTATGAATTGTAATACAATACAAAAGTAAGAGTAAACTTACGTAATTAAGTAAAGAATGTTAGAAATATAAATCATCAAGGAACTGTGACAGTGTAACGAACCAACCAAGAATCTATTGTCTAACAAATATGCCGAAGGATATGCAAGTGGACACTCAAGTGACATCGTGCGGTGGACCCTTGAGCGGAACCTGAACTAGAAACGACGCGTTAGGAGTGCATCCCAGGATGACACAGAGAAAATCATGTGAAGAGGATATGAAAGCTTATCGGCAGTTTTGTGGTCAGTTAAAAAGACTTCAGTGAACCGAATGAAATGGAGATGTACTGATTGAGCTCTATGTTTCACTCGGAACCCAAGAGAATAATGTGAATAACTAGAAATACGAATGATAATAACAGAAGGAAGCTTTAGCCTTTACTATCCAAGCCAGTTGTTGTAATACTCACGTTATCAGAACCAAGATTTATAGATTATTTCAGAGTTCATTGTTCAAAATGTCATTTTGAAATGGTTGTTTCCGGGAAAGCGAACCATAAGTACTGTTTACAATGTTCCTGTCTGTTTTTTCACACACACACACACAGCTAACTATAAAACACATAGTGATACCCTCATTCATATCGGATGGGGATTTTTGCTTCACTGGGTTAAAACGTACACACATATGTGCCTTTAGAGTAACAATTATTCCCCTGAAACTTTATTTTCCTCAAAATATAGCTTATCAACTGCTCGGATTCAAAAGCTTTTTGTGAAGTAATTATATGAAGAATTTGGATTTCATATTGAAATAGGAACGGAATTCTAGTACTGTGGCAGAATATATCTTGATCATATAATAAATTTATTTGATGAAACACATATTATGATACAGTATTATTTAATGATGACATTTCGAGTAAAAATTATTACTCATAATCAACTGTGGGTCTTAAGAGTTATTATTTGTCAGTTAAAATTCAAAGCATAATTCAATAATTTGTGGGTAGTGACTAGCAGTGGAATCCAGGATGCACGTTTCGGCCTATTTGGGACTCGTCATTGGATGTACCTGCATTCTTCAATGAGTGATGATGTTCCCACCGAGCACTTCGATCCAGTCAATCGACGGGAAAATCTAAAATTGAATTAAATAATTCATAATTCAATAAATTAGTGATTTATTCTGGTTAGCAGTTAATTAGTCTGTTTTAATAGAAACATTATTTTTGCTTTTCTTCTTTACATTTCGTAAAACAAATTCCTAAAGAATAATTATCATTCATCATTCAGAAGTGACAAGAAACAACTTCATATTATGGATACTAATCACAGAAAAATGCTGTCACTTTCTGAAAAATAATGTTTGTTTGACATTTACGCAATCATATAAATGTGTACGTATTTGGCATTTGAGACCAAGTTGCAGTTGTGTTTTCTTGGTTGAATGATGGAATTACGAAGCTTCTGTTTTCTT